CCCTCCCTCCCCCTCCCCCCCTCCCCTCACCCCTCCCTCCCCCCTCCCCTCCTCCCCTCCCCCCTCCCCTCCTTCCCTCCCCCTCCCCTCCTCCCCTCCCCCCCTCCCCCCCTCCCCTCCCCCCTCCACTCTCACACACTCGCTTACTCTTTCACACTCACTCAGACGCACTCACACTCACTCTCTTAGACTCTCTCACTCAATCACACTCTCTCACACTCACACTCTCTCGGACTCACTCACACTCTCTAACACTCTCTCACCCTCTCACACTCTCTCACCCTCTCACACTCTCTAACACTCTCTCACTCTCTCACACTCTCTCTCACACTCTCACCCTCTCACACTCTCTCACCCTCTCACACTCTCACACTCACACTCTCTCACACTCTCTCACACTCTCTCACACTCTCTCAGACTCACTCATACTCTCTGACACTCACTCACACTCTCTCACACTCTCACCCTCTCACACTCTCTCACTCTCTCACACTCTCTCACACTCTCACCTCTCACACTCTCTCACCCTCTCACACTCTCACACTCACACTCTCTCACACTCTCTCACACTCTCTCACACTCACTCACACTCTCTCAGACTCACTCACACTCTCTGACACTCACTCACACTCTCTCACACTCTCTCACACTCACTCAGACTCACTCACACTCTCTCACACTCACTCACACTCTCTGACACTCACTCACACTCTCTCACACTCACTCAGACTCACTCACACTCTCTCAGACTCACTCACACTCTCACACTCTCTCACACACTCACACTCTCTAACACTCTCTCACCCTCTCACACTCTCTCTCACTCTCTCACACTCTCTCTCACACTCTCACCCTCTCACACTCTCTCACCCTCTCACACTCTCACACTCACACTCTCTCACACTCTCACACACTCTCTCACACTCACTCACACTCTCTCAGACTCACTCACACTCTCTGACACTCACTCACACTCTCTCACACTCACTCAGACTCACTCACACTCTCTCAGACTCACTCACACTCTCACACTCTCTCACACACTCACACTCTCTAACACTCTCTCACCCTCTCACACTCTCTCTCACTCTCTCACACTCTCTCTCACACTCTCACCCTCTCACACTCTCTCACCCTCTCACACTCTCACACTCACACTCTCTCACACTCTCACACACTCTCTCACACTCGCTCACACTCTCTCAGACTCACTCACACTCTCTGACACTCACTCACACTCTCTCACACTCACTCAGACTCACTCACACTCTCTCAGACTCACTCACACTCTCACACTCTCTCACATACTCACACTCTCTAACACACTCTCACCCTCTCACACTCTCTCTCACTCTCTCACACTCTCTCTCACACTCTCACCCTCTCACACTCTCTCACCCTCTAACACTCTCACACTCACACTCTCTCACACTCTCACACACTCTCTCACACTCGCTCACACTCTCTCAGACTCACTCACACTCTCTGACACTCACTCACACTCTCTCACACTCACTCAGACTCACTCACACTCTCTCAGACTCACTCACACTCTCACACTCTCTCACATACTCACACTCTCTAACACTCTCTCACCCTCTCACACTCTCTCACACTCTCTCTCACACTCTCACCCTCTCACACTCTCTCACACACTCACACTCTCACCCTCTCACACTCTCTCACACTCTCTCACACTCACCCTCACTCACACTCTCACCCTCTCACACTCTCACCCTCTCACACGCTCTCACACACTCACACTCTCTCACACTCACTCACACTCTCACACTCTCACACTCTCACACCCTCACACTCTCTCTCACACTCTCACACACTCATACTCTCTCACACTCACTCACACTCTCTCACACCCTCACACTCTCACCCTCTCACACTCTCACACCCTCTCATACTCTCACACCCTCTCACAATCTCACCCTCTCACACTCACACTCTCTCACACTCTCTCTCACACTCTCACCCTCTCACACACTCTCACACACTCACACTCTCTCACACTTACTCACACTCTCTCACATTCTCACACTCTCACACTCACACACTCTCACACGCTCTCACACTCACACTCTCACACCCTCACTCTCTCTCTCACACACTCACACACTCTCACACTCTCTCACACTCACTCTCTCACACTCTCACCCTCTCACACTCACACTCTCTCACACTCACCGTGTGCTCCCTATTCACACCCGCCACTGCGCGTGTTAAACGCGACGTGGCCGGGCGTGTCAATCACACCCAGCCGTCTTTGTCTCTCCCCCCTCGCCTCGCCGCGCGCGCGTGGAGGCAATCGTCCGAGTCTCGTGCCGAGGCGTTCTCTCCAGGGGGATGGGGTCTCGTGATGAATTCACGGAACAATTCCTCACCTCGCCTTGCACGGCCACGAATTGAAACTCTGGCTCCCCAAACAAAACTAATTTACAGGATACAATAAAAGCAACAGCAGCAACAACAACAACAGCAGCAGTGGGCACGATCGATGCAGAGCGAGATGCCGAGTTTGAGATCCAAGCAGGAGATCCCAGCATGGCCGGTTGCGAGGTTGTTAAGATGAATAACTGAAGTGCGCAAAAGCGCCGGCGCGTCCCATATTATTGTTTCGTGTGGACGCAGAGCGTCAACTTTACCACTTCACATTCAGGTGGTCAAGTCAGATAAGCGTGTCAAGGGCAGCGGGGTGTGTGTCGCCGTGGTGTCTCCCTTCGCTGGAGGGTTCTGCTTCCAATGGGGCTGGACGAGTATTTGTCAATTCGCGTCTGTGTTGAGCGGACTGCTGTGGTACGGGCGGATCCGAAGGTGGTTAGAATTAATCATTTTGAGATTTGTCAAACGTCCCAAATGCATTGCCCCGCCTCAGTGCCGGATTATCCCAAAAGCAAAAGTATGTAGTAGTAGCTACTACTACATATGTAGTAGCTGCTACTACATATGTAGTAGCTACTACATATGCAGCTACGGGCCCCGCACTTTCAAGGGCCCCGCGCTAAATGCTTTCAAGCTATCAATTCCGGTTCAGTGATTTTGCACTTGCTCTATTGCTATAGTAATATACCGCCTTTGACATATGCTACGGCCCCGCACTTTCAAGGGCCCTGCACTAAATGTTTTCAAGCTATCAATTCCGGTTTAGTGATTCTGCACTTGCTCTATTACTCTATTACTATAGTACTATACCGCCTTCAAATTTTATCAACGACTGGGTGTTTAAGGTTAGCGATTTGTCGTACTATCTGGCTGTATAGCAAATGAAAATATACCATTACTTTACAGTGCAAGTTACAAATGTACGTGTTTATTTAGGGCCCCTTTATAACATATGCCACAGGCCCCGCACTCGCTTAATCCGGCACTGCCGCACCTGCCCGTAAGGGGCATTGAGACACAGCGAGTCTTGCTTGGCTCAGCGCGTTTACGTTGTCGCCTTTTACTAACTTCGACGATTCGAATCGGGTTTGCCCCGCGTCCTCGCAGCGCGAGTCACGAGGCAGGGCGCACGTCCAGAATGGAAATCAGAATGTGTATTCATCCCGGGTGAGTTGGAGGAATGTGATGGAAGCAACGAAGCTTCTTTTCACAAATGTCCAGCGAGAGGCGGGGTCGCCAGCATGTCACATCAATCGAAACAAAGACGAACGCACGACGACGAGAAGCACGGTGGAGAAAAGTCGAGCAAGTCGACGCTTCACGCGTAAATGCTTAAATGCTTCAAGTTCAAGTTAATTTATTAGGTATAGCCCTGTGAGCCATTCGGCTCTTGAATCGGGTGGCAACCGCAACAAACAAAAAACTAAAACATGAACAAAAAACATCTTAAAGTGAATATGTGACTAAGTGCAAACAGAAAATCCAAGAAAAGGCAGCAAAACATTGCAGAAAAAACACCGTACACCAACGCTGTGTGCAAAAATCCCAGGGGGATGCAAGTCAAACAACAACAACAACAACCACAAGACAACTTAGATTAAGGCCATCAGTCTAACTCTGTACTACAACAAACAAACATGGCTAAACCAATACACTTTTCGAAATCACCAAAATAAAGCCATGAAAGCAATGAAAAAGCAATCATAGGAACTGTGACGGAATTTTCACAGTAAATGTCATAAACAACATGTACCACCAAAACCCTGCAGCCAAAGCTGGCTGCACGAGCGGCTTTCGGAGGCAGCGCGCACATTTGCCGCTGCTGCGTAAACGCCGCGTGCGAGCGTGGCAGAGGCAGTGAGGCGTCATCACGGGCCGCTGAAGCAGGACCCGCGGCGGGGGAGGGGGGAGTCCCTCCAACTACAATGTTGGGACGGCCCTTTCAGTCTCTCGCAAACCCTCGCACGCGCCGCGGGCTCACAGAGGCCCCGGGGTGACACCGCGTTCGTCATGCGCCGCGCGGGGTGATTGGGCAAACCCGGACTTGGAGTGCCCGGTCATCCTGCTGGACCCCTTGGTGAGTGGGTGGGTGGGTGAGTGAGTGGGTGAGTGGGAAAGTGAGTGGGTGGGTGGGTGAATGGGTAGGTGGGTGTGTGGGTGAGTGGGTGAGTGAGTGAGTGGGTGAGTGGGTGGGTGAGTGGGTGGGTGGGTAAGTGGGTGGGTGAGTGGGTGGGTGAGTGAGTGAGTGGGTGGGTGAGTGGGTGGGCGAGTGGGTGGGCGAGTGGGTGGGTGAGTGGGTGGGTGAGGCGCCCCCTCGAACCGGGATGTGTTTCTGGAACTCGGGGTGGCTGGGTTCGCAGCACAGCGAGCTAACCGCTGCACCACCGCTCCCCACACACAGCCACAAAGACAAAGATCCCCCCCCACCATAGCCTGAGCAGACATTTGAGGAAAGTGCTGTTAGCGAGCACCTATGAACGGTACATGAGGGGGTGGGTGGTCAACACCACGCCCGACCGCCTTTGTCTCCCTAATGGCGATGTTTACACATCGCACCGGGTACTCATTTGAGGCTGAGTCGACCTAGGGGATGCCGGTTCAGATAATCGTCGCTGGTGTTGGTCGTCAGCAGGAATCGAACCCGGGTGGCCGGGTTCGTAGCGCCGCGTAGCGCTAACCGCTCCACCACCGCTCCCCACGTACACACACACACGCGCGTACACACAGTCACACACACGCGCGCGCGCACACAGCCGCGATATTCCACCTCTGCTCTCATTTGATGGAGTCTCGTCTGCGTGCGCGGTGACACGAGACTCCCGTCCCCACTCCCCGCTCGCCCAACTCGTCTCTCGCGTGGGCGGTTAAGTTATTGTCGTGAATAATCATCATCATCACCATCACCACCATCACCATTGTCATCATGGGCTGCCGTGTGCGTCGCCACCCACACTACAAACAGGGGCACAAACACACGCGGCAAAAGCGAAGATCCCCCCGTGGAGGCTTAACAGACCGTGAGGGCGAGTGCTGTTAGCGAGTAGCACCTGTGAAGGCCGTCAAGACGCACGAGTGGATGGGTGAGCAACACCGCGCCCGGCCGCCTTTGTCTCCCCAGTGGCGAATGTTCACAAACCGCATCAGGTACTTATTTGAGGCTGAGTCAACCTAGGGGAGGATCAGGAGCGGTTCAGGTAATCGTCGCTGGTGTCGGTGGCCGTGAGCGTGAATCAAATTGGGGTCGCCGGGTTTGTCGCGCAGCGCGCTAACCGATGCACCACCGCTCCCTTTTTCACCGACACACAAAGACAAAGATCCCCGTATAGCCTGTGACAGACTGTAGGGGCAAGTGCTGTTAGCGAGCACCTGTGAAGGCCGGCACGGCACACGAGTGGGTGGGTGGCCAGCAGCACGCCCGACCGCCTTTGTCTTCCCAGTGGCGATGTTTACACATCTCACCAGGTACTCATTTGAGGCTGAGTCGACCTAGGGGATGCCCAGGACCGGTTCACATAATCGTCGCTGGTGTTGGCCGTGAGCGGGGATGGAACTTGGGTGGCCGAGTTCGTAGCGCAGCGCAGCGATAACCGCGACACCACGACAGAGTGTCACACACATACACACACACATACACACACACACATACACACACACATACACACATACACACACACACATACACACACATACACACACATACACACACACGCGCACGCGCGCGCGCACCAAGGCCAAGCACGAGGAATCGCGCACGGCGACTCGGGGAGCGGCGGGAGGGAGGGCTACTTCTCGAAACGTCAACGTGTGTCGGTGATGTGTCGGTGGTGAGTCGGTGGTGAGTGGGTGGTGTGTCGGTGGTGAGTGGGTGATGTGTCGGTGGTGAGTCGGTGGTGAGTGGGTGGTGTGTCGGTGGTGAGTGGGTGATGTGTCGGTGGTGAGTCGGTTATGTGTCGGTGGTGAGTTGGTGGTGTGTCGGTGGTGAGTTGGTGATGAGTGGGTGATGTGTCGGTGATGTGTCGGTGGTGAGTTGGTGGTGTGTCGGTGGTGAGTGGGTGATGTGTCGGTGATGTGTCGGTGATGTGTCGGTGGTGAGTTGGTGGTGTGTCGGTGGTGAGTGGGCGGTGTGTCGGTGATGTGTCGGTGATGTGTCGGTGGTGAGTTGGTGGTGTGTCGGTGGTGAGTTGGTGATGAGTGGGTGATGTGTCGGTGATGTGTCGGTGGTGAGTTGGTGATGTGTCGGTGGTGAGTTGGTGATGAGTGGGTGATGTGTCGGTGGTGTGTCGGTGGTAAGTTGGTGATGTGTCGGTGGTGAGTTGGTGATGAGTGGGTGATGTGTCGGTGATGTGTCGGTGGTGAGTGGGTGATGTGTCGGTGGTGAGTGGGTGATGTGTCGGTGATGTGTCGGTGATGTGTCGGTGGTGAGTTGGTGGTGTGTCGGTGGTGAGTTGGTGATGAGTGGGTGATGTGTCGGTGGTGTGTCGGTGGTGAGTTGGTGATGTGTTGGTGGTGAGTTGGTGGTGTGTCGGTGGTGAGTGGGCGGTGTGTCGGTGATGTGTCGGAGATGTGTCGGTGGTGAGTTGGTGGTGTGTCGGTGGTGAGTTGGTGATGAGTCGGTGATGTGTCGGTGGTGAGTCGGTGGTGTGTTGGTGGTGAGTTGGTGGTGAGTCGTCGGTGTGTTGGTGGTGAGTCGGTGGTGAGTCGGTGGTGAGTTGGTGATGTGTCGGTGATGTGTCGGTGGTGAGTCGGTGGTGTTCTGTTGGCTTTGCCGCTTGCGCAGGTAGCAACAGCGGCACAAACTAATCTCCACGTGTAAACACAGCAACCCCTCGCTCTGGGAGCGTGGGGTGGCGGGGTGGGGTGGCGAGCGGGGGCGGGAGGTGATGATGGAGGGATAATATGGCACGGCAAGGGCCAGGGGGTGGGGTGGGTGGGTGGGGGAGCTGCTGGAACCCTTGTATTTCCATCTCGCTAACGAGACTCTGGCATGGAAATTACATTACTGGGCGAAATGGGGGGGCGGAATACAGAGCGCCTGATGCGGATTAAGCGAGCTTTATAGGCGGCGGGTGGGAGGGAGGGAGGGAGGGGGGGGTGGGGTTATGGGGGAGGAGGCACATTGTGTGTGTATGTTACTCGTTTAAGTCGAAGTAGAGGCGCGGGGGGGGGGGGCACAGCACAGGGTTCAGACGCGACGGTGACGCTGGCAATGCGCGCAGTGGGGGTATCGAGACCCAGGTGCAGTCAATGCGCCGCTCCACGCACTTACGTCGTAGCAAAATACCAAGTGCGTAGCCTACAACAGACTGCTGGGGCAGGTGCTGTTAGCGAGTAGCAGCACCACGCCCGGCCGCCTTTGTCTCCCCAGTGGCGGTGTTCGCACACCGCACCAGGTACTGATTTGAGGCTGAGTCGACCTAGGGGAGGCCCTGGACCGGTCCAGATAATTATTAATCGTCACTGGGTGTTGGCGGTGAGACGGGAATCGAACCCGGGTCGCCGGGTTCGTAGCGCAGCGCGCTAACCGCTGCACCACCGGTCCCCACACACACACGCACGCAAACGTAGCAGAATCGCACACGCATACAATCGCTCTGTTGTGTTGTTACTGCATTAAACAGCAGGCCAGGATGACCCAGCCCACATCGGGCTCAGTCGCACTACATACACAATCAAATACAAAGATCCTCTGTATAGCCTGTTACAGACTGTTGGGGCAAGTGCCGTTAGCGAGCACCTATGAAGGCCGGAACGACACACGAGGGGGTGGGTGGCCAGCACCACGCCCGACCGCCTTTGTCTCCCCAGTGGCGATGTTTGCACATTTCACCAGGTACCCATTTGAGACTTAGTCGACCTAGAGGAGGCCCCGGACCGGTTCAGATAATCGTCACCGCTGTCGTCCGTGAGTGGGAATCGAACCCGGGTCGCCGGGTTCACAGCGCAAAGCGCGTACCAACACAACAACAACAATAACCGCCATTCGCCACTAAGTGGCGGTGACGTCACCACGACGCTTGTGCCAGGCCATGTGCACCTTGAGGCCACGTACCAACACACACACACACTCATACATATGTAGTGGGCCTCCTTCCCCGGGGCGTGCGTGCGCGTGCGACGCACACACTCAGTCGGAGACGAGGTAGTCGCAGGAGGCACAGTCTCCCTTCATTATCTCGTTCAACTGCGGCCTCCTCTCGCACTACCGCGCTGCCGTACAGCCCGGCCCAGACACGACGCTGCCCGCGTTGCACCGACGGCGTCGACCGAGACAGCCAACCGCTGTCCGGCCGCGCAATGCCCCGGGCGAGGGCGGCAGCGACGATGCGCCAAGTCCACTCCCAGAACCGGCAGCCTGGAGCTCCCCGCTCTCCGCTGCTTTTATTCCCCTCGGCGCGGCCTGGCTCCGCCCTAGCCGCGCCTCCCTTCTCGAACCCTCCAGAGGGTTCCAGGGGCTTCCCCACGAGGTCTACCGTGACCCTTGCCCCAGTTCCTCTGCCCTGCCGGCACGCGCACCGCGTGTGCGCCCAGCGGCGTGTGCGCTGTGTCTACCTGCAGTTGCTGCTGCTGCTGTACAACAGTCGGCGCTGTGTCACTACAAGTACAGAGATCCTACGTACCGTGTAGTGTTAAGACTCATATTCTTGGTTCTTTCGGTAAAGTCACGTAAATAGAAAACAATAGAATAAAACAAATTTTCATGATAAAAGCAAAAAAACACATACTCTTTGGTTCTTTCGGCAAAGTCACGTAGATAGAAAAATAATAGATCACGACGTTTCGATCGCAACACAAGCAATCGTCATCAGGTGGGGCAACCACAGCAAAAAACACAATAAAAAAGAAGAAAATTTTATTAAAAAGTGAATTTTTTTATAAATTGAAAATAATGAAAGCAAAAAACCCACGACGTTTCGATCGCAACACAAGCGGCTTTCATCAGGCGGAGCCGCTTATCAGGGTTCCAAAGTGAGGGGGGCGGCGGACGAGAGTTGCGCAAGCAGCACGCTCATGCCGGAGGAGCTTTAATCGTTTTCAATTTAGAATTTTTATTTTAAATTATTTAAATTTTGTATTTTTATTTTTCTACCTACGTGCCTTTCCCGAAAGAACCAAGAATGTGAATTCTTGCAGTCACGAAAGTTTTAGGTCAAAATGTCAACAGCCCGTTGGGACAAGTTCTATGCAGGTAGCAAGGCTGTGGCCAGGACCCACGTCCCGTTGACTTTCGTCTCCGCGCTACTCTTCTGGTGTCCACACGCAGCGCCAGTTGCTCGCTGAGTCTGGAGGGGGGGGGAAGAAGAGCAGGTAGAGGTTCACATCACTCGCCACTCATGTCCGCTCTCGCCCTGACCGGGCTTGTCACTCGCGCATCGCGCCGGGCGTTGTAAGCGCTCACGAACCACAACCAGCACCAGCACTCCGTGTACACACCGTGTACACTGCGTACACACCGTGTTGACCCTGACACTGGGGGGGGGGGGGGGTGTGACCTCACCCCTGGCGAAGGTCGCGCTATCGGACACAATCGGCTTAGCGCGGCAATTACGCCACTCGCCGCCGTCGCCGCCGTCGCTAATTTGGTGTTGACTTGCGTCAGCGCGGTGCCCGGCGAAAACCCGCAGCAGCAGCAGCAGTTGTAACAGCTGTAGTAGCAGCAGTTGTAACAGCTGTAGTAGCAGCAATTGCAGTAGTAGCAGCAGCTGCAGCAGTAGCAGCAGCAGCAACAGCTGTAAGAGCAGCAGACGCAGCAGCAGCAGCACCTGCAGCAGCCGCTGTAGCAGCAGACGAAACGCGCTCGGAGGAGAGGCGCTCCTCCCGTATTCACAGCGCAGGAGCACTGCGAGTGACAGCCCTGCTGCTGGTGGCGTCAGCACTGCGAGTGGCAGCCCTGCTGCTGGTAGCGTCAGCACTGCGAGTGACAGCCCTGCTGCTGGTAGCGTCAGCACTGCGAGTGGCAGCCCTGCTGCTGGTGGCGTCAGCACTGCGAGTGGCAGCCCTGCTGCTGGTGGCGTCAGCACTGCGAGTGACAGCCCTGCTGCTGGTGGCGTCAGCACTGCGAGTGACAGCCCTGCTGCTGGTGGCGTCAGCACTGCGAGTGACAGCCCTGCTGCTGGTGGCGTCAGCACTGCGAGTGACAGCCCTGCTGCTGGTAGCGTCAGCACTGCGAGTGGCAGCCCTGCTGCTGGTGGCGTCAGCACTGCGAGTGGCAGCCCTGCTGCTGGTGGCGTCAGCACTGCGAGTGGCAGCCCTGCTGCTGGTAGCGTCAGCACTGCGAGTGACAGCCCTGCTGCTGGTAGCGTCAGCACTGCGAGTGGCAGCCCTGCTGCTGGTAGCGTCAGCACTGCGAGTGGCAGCCCTGCTGCTGGTAGGGTCAGGGGTCGACCGGCTGGTGGCTTGGCGCAGGGCTGGGGTCTGGTTGGCGAGGGTGGGTGGGGAGGGACGGGCGCAGGGCTGGGGTCTGGTTGGTCTGTCAATAGCAACCGTTTACACTTTGTATTTCGCCTTTCCCTGTTGCGGGCAGAGTCTCAACACAGCAGCAGCTGCAGCAGGCCCTGCCACACCACACAGCAGCAGCTGCGGCCACACCACACAGCTGCTCCAGCCACACCACACCACACAGCTGCTCCAGCCACACCACACCACACAGCTGCTCCAACCACACCACACCACACAGCTGCAGCCACACCACTCAGCAGCAGCTGCAACCACACCACATAGCAGCAGCTGCTGCACCACACAGCGGCAGCTGCAGCCACACCACACAGCAGCTCCAACCACACCACTCAGCAGCACCCACCCCACACAGTTCCAGCCACACCACACAGCGGCAGGCCCTGGCACACCACCCCACACAGCAGCAGCTCCAGCCACACCACTCAGCAGCACCCACCCCACACAGCTCCAGCCACCCCACACAGCTCCAGCCACACCACACAGCGGCAGGCCCTGGCACACCACACCACACACTACACAGCTGCAGCTGCTGCACCACACAGCGGCAGGCCCTGCCACACCACCCCACACAGCAGCAGCTCCAGCCACCCCACACAGCTGCAGCAGCCACCCCACTCAGCAGCAGCTCCAGCCACACCACAGGCCAAAGCGGTGGCCGCGCCGCGCGCTGTGAGACACGGCCCAGCAGTCGAGGTGGGGTGCGGGTCAACCACATCGATGTCGGCCGCCCCTCATTACAGACATCTCCTTACACCGCGTTACAAAGCGCGGCTCTGAATTTTATATATATATTTTTAAACCTCTAATGGGCCGCAATTACGACTCCACAACCGAAAACAGCTGTCACCCCCCCCCCCCCCCATTCACCTTCAATCCCTCCCCTTCATCTCCCCGGCGTGTCGCCATCCCCCCCCCCCCCCCCCCAGCCGTTCGCATCCGTGGCGCGCCCGTGATCTCGAGGCGAGGGTTGGTGGACCACGCAGAGATTTGCGTGGAAGTGCGTTGGTGCGGTCTGGTCGAGGTTTTCCGACCGCGGTTACTCGGGTTTCTGTCCGCGCGAAGCTTGACCGCTCGTTGTTTAGACAGGAATTTAAACAGGAATTGACCAAACATCCAGAGAGGCAGAACCGCCCATGAACGGAGCATTGAGGCTTTTGTTGCGTTTGTGTTGATAATATATAAACAACTACGGTAGTTGCCTGTCCCGTTAGAATTGTGTCAGTTCTCTCCACGTTACGAAGGACAACCATATAAAGACACCCCCCCCCCCCCCCCCCCGTAGAAGCTTGCACAGACTGTTGGGACAAGTGCTGGAACACTCAACGTGAAGACGCCCACACACAAAACCTTCATTTTAATTAAAATCACCGTCGCATGTCACGAACGCGTGCGTGTCCGCGAGGATTGTAAAATTGGCAAACTTGGCGAGATGAGACGTGGTGGTGGTGGTGATGGATCACGAGGCAACGGATATTAGCTAATATTCCTCTGCCCAGGCAGAGCAGCAGGGCGCCCTCATCCCACTCCCACCCCATCCACTCATTGCGGGGGTGGTGGTGGAGGGGGCACCCGTCCAGTAATTGAGGTTGCGATGAACACGTGGACAGGGCGGTTAGGAAATGGAGTTCAGTCCGCAGGAGAGGACCGATTGTGTGTGCTTTAGAAGCGCAACTTTTGATTTGTGCCGAAATTATTCACATTTTAATTGGACAATTCCCAGCGCGATAATACAATTACGAGTTCGTGTGGTGTCATTGTATCGCAGCGGATGAGATGACGGCGGGTCATCAGTTAGACGCATCAGTAGAGGCATCATCAGCAGCAGCAGCGACGCGAACTCGGTCATCTTCGGCAGCAGCAGTGGCATCAGCAACTGCGACATCGTCGTCGTTGATGCTCGTCAGCAGTGGGCAGCTTTGTGGTCGTCACTAGCAGCGGCAGGACGGAGGCAGTGAGAGGTGGCAGGCCCCAACTTTTCCTACCCCACCACTTACTACCCCCCCACTCCCTACCCCACCACCCTCCCCACCACTCCCTACCCCACCACCCTACCCAGCACTCCCTACCCCACCACCATACCCACCACTTCCTACCCCACCACCCACCCCACCACTCCCTACCCCACCACTCACTATCCCCCCACTCCCTACCCCACCACTCCCTACCCCACCACTCTCCCCACCACTCCTACCCCACCACTCCACCCACCACTTCCTACCCCACCACCCCCTACCCCACCACCATCCCCACCACTCCCTACCCCACCACCCACCGCTCTACCCACCACTAAATCGACACCGCGACCCATCCCAACACCGACAACCCGTACCTCCTCGTCTCGCTCCACGTGATCCCCTTCCTCTCGTGTCGACACCTCCACCTGCTCCGACTCAAGCCGCCCCGCTCCCTCCCGTCTCCCACCGCCCCCCACCCCACCCGGCCCTCCCCGCCAGACCGTCCCACGCCGCGACAGCCGCGGCTCGCACCATGACGAAGGGCAAGAGCGTGCGGGGCCACCTGGGCGCCGGTGCGGGCCTTCACCTGCTGAGCCGCGGCCTCCTGCAGGCGGCCGTCGTGTCGAGCCTGAGCCCCGGCGAGCTGCTGGCGCTCTCGGGGGTCTCCACGGACCACCGCGACCTGGTCATCAACGTGGGCGGCGCGCGCTACTCCCTGGGTCGCGAGGCGCTCCGCGACTTCCCGCTGGGCCGCGTGCGGCGGCTGCGCGACTGCGTCTCGGAGGCCGAGGTCCTGGAGCTGTGCGACGACTGGGACCGCGACTCGAACGAGTACTTCTTCGACCGGCACGCCGACTCGTTCCGCGCCGCCGTGGGCTACGCGCGGCACGGCCGCCGCCTGCGCCTGCTGCCGCACATGTGCGAGCTGTCGTTCCGCGGCGAGCTCGCCTACTGGGGCCTGGACGGCCACGCGTGCCTCGAGCCGTGCTGCGTCAAGAGGCTCGACGAGAGGATGGCCGAGTGCGCGTTCGGCGCCGCCGCCGCCGACGCCGAGAGGCGGGAGGCGGCGGAGGCGGCGGCGGCGGCGGCGCTCTCCCCGACGCCGCCGTGGCTCGAGCGCATGAGGAGGACGTTCGAGGAGCCCGGCTCGTCGGTGCCTGCGCACATCCTGGCCGCGGTGTCCGTGCTCTTCGTGCTCGTCTCCGTGGGGCTGCTGTGCGCCAGCACGCTGCCCGAGTGGAAGGCGAGCGAGCGCACGGGCAGCGCGCACGACAACAGGTAAGGGCGACGCGGGGGGAGGGAGGTCAAGGGGAGGTCACGCGCGTCGCCTGTCGCTGTTGGAAAGTCAACTGGGGGGGTGTGGGCTGCGAGGGGAAGTGATGTTTGAGTGGCCGTGTCGTGGTGTCATCTGGGGAGCTCTGTGGGCGGGCGAACGAGAGGTCGTGGATGACGGGTGACCTCGATAGGACTGGTGGTGTTTAAGTGACCGCAGCTGCCGGCGATCTGTATAAGCGAACGGTGGTCCGGGTAGGATCACTGAAACAAGTCTGGCCACGTTCCTATACGCCATGCCAGACACGGTGGAAATGCCTTTAATCCTGAACTTTGGACACAAGAGTTCGGTGGGGATTTGTTGACACTCTCAAGGCCACTGGATTGCGAGGTGGCTAGCAGATTAGAGCGAAGCAGGCGAGTTCATGATCCTGTATCCTGGTTGCTCCCGTGTCCTCTACCAAGAATCCAAACCACCCTTTTACTTATAAAGTAATCGTCCTAACATCACGATGCGAGACCTTGCTGAAATACAGCCGCGCGACTCGGCGAGAATACCCTTGGATACGTGAACGGCTTCATCTAAATCATCATAATTATTACAAAACTATCATCATCATTATTATTATTGCATCGCAATTATAGTTTTGCTCGTCGCGGGGATGGCTGTTCTATAAAGCGTGGATGTCATAATTCCGCGTCTGCGCTCACCGCGCATGGCACTAGCGGGAGGGGTGGTTGGGAATCTTTGAGAGACCGATTAGCACGGTTGACTACGTACGGCGCGAAAGAAGTTCAACACAACGAGCTCGAGCGGGGAGTGGAGCTTTATATGCGCGGTCGAAATTGGCTTTCCTTTAATTGCGAATCGGCGCTGATATCGGGTGTCGTATTCTCACAAGACGAGATGTCCGTTCGGAACTCTCGCAGAGAGCAGTGCATCACCTTGTGGTCGGAGAAATGACCGTAAAGCTGCTTTCGAGGTCACTTTAATCGCCTCTCATCTACGCCTGTAAACGAACGAACGCTCGTCTTGAACGCCGCCTAAAAAGAAACAAGATATAATCGGTCACGTGTTCATTTTTCTTTGGACAGTGTCTTGATTTGAAGTTTTCGTGACTGCAGGAACCCATACTCTTTGGTTCCTTCGGTGACTTTACCGAAATAACCAAAGAGTATAGAGTGTGTTGAGTTATCTGTGCATTGTGCTTCGCGCACCGACGCTAATGCAGCGTCGCCAAATGTTGAACACGTTCTGCAAAGAGACGCGAGATGTATCCAAAGCAAGCAACGTGCCAAATTTAATTGATACATCTTTTTTTTCTTTCTCTCTTTACAATCGCTGATGACCGGGCTGAGACGGTAATCTCGATGCACGTGAGAGCCGGTGGTCCCAAATTCCAGTTCGAGCCCCCAGCTGGTCGCCCATGTCTCCCGGCACACGCGCTGATTCACATTTCGGCAACAGACGTTCATATGCAGATGTCTAATATATTCAAATGTCTGATATATTCAACGGCTTGTTAGTCGTGGCTCCCAGTAGTGATTAGGTGCGCTCTACTCAGATGTTCAAAGGCAAAGATCCCCCCTGTAGCCTTAACAGACTTTTGGGGCAAGTGCTGTTAGCGAGCACCTATGCGAGGCCGGCACGGCACACGAGGGGGTGGGTGGCCAACACCACGCCCGGCCGCCTTTGTCTCCCCAGTGGCGATGTTCACACACCGCACCAGGTACTCATTTGAGGCTGACTCGACATAGGGGAGGCCCAGGACCGGTACAGATATTCGTCACCGGTGTTGGCCGTGAGCGGGAATCGAACCCGGGATGCCGGGTTCGTAGCGTAGCGTGCTAACCACTGCACCACCTGCTCCTCGCTTACTTGATCACTCACCACTTGTGCACTCACCAACACAGGGAATATTCGCTCAATAAGAAAAACGCGATATATTACGATCAATATTCATACACTCGCCTTTTGCCCGCCAAAGGACGGGTGTATTGCAGTAAATCTGAAACTTGCAAGCGAAAATCAGACCGCGACGTGATATATTCATTGCATCAATTCGTGCGCAATTTGCAAGGGCGCGGTGACACAGACCTATTTCGTTTAAAGGTTATAATCCCTTGTTCATCATGACGTCCTTTTTACTTCGATGTCTCAACAGCGTGACGGAGACCGCGTGACGTGAGGGTTCTGCCTTTGTAGTGAGGGTTGTGAGTTGACGCCGAGGAGGGGGGAGGAGGCGCCTCGCCCCCCATGTGGAGTGACGTCACATGCTCATGATTATTAATGAGGAGGGCTGTTCGACGTGGAGTGACGTAACGAGCGTTGCACACAGACATTCTTGGCTCATTATAGTAGGTAATAATAATGGGAGGGGGGGGGTCCATTTGTAGGACGTCACCTGTTCATAAATATTAATGAGGGGGGGGGGCTGGTCGACGTCGAATGACGTCACGAGCGTTAAGGACCGACATCCCTGGGTGATGATCGTGGGTGATCATCGTGGGTGATGTGCACGTGAGATTCACGCGTGGATGATGCCGCGAAACGTCGTGGTCTTGCCGTTGATTTCTGTTTCCCCTCCCCCCCTCCCCCGTTGGCTCGACACTCATCCACCCACACGCCACGTGCAACGCATTCACTCGCTCATCCATTCGCCCACCCACCAACCCAATCACTGCACGCACTCACCAACCCACAAACCCATGCACTCCTCCCCACCACTCACGTATCAACTCCATCAACCACCCAACCATTCACTTCCACCCCACTCACGCATGCGCTCGCGACCTCATATATCCGCGAGCCGACGCGAACCAACTCTGCGTACCGTCCACCACGCACCTCGCTCGCCTCCCCCCACCCACCCCCCCGTCCCACCCCAGCAGGATCATCGAGGCGGTGTGCATGGGCTGGTTCACGGCCGAGTGCATCGTGCGCTTCCTCATCGCGCGCGACCGCCTCCGCTTCTTCCGCCAGCCGCTCAACGCCATCGACGTGCTCGCCATCTCGCCCTACTACGTGGCCGTGGCGCTCGCCTCGGCCGGCGCCGACACCCCGCAGCTGCAGCGCGCCGGCGTGACCCTCCGCGTGCTGCGCATGCTGCGCATCTTCTGGCTCCTCAAGCTGGCGCGCCACTCCGTGGGCCTGCAGACGCTCGGCCTCACCCTGCGCCGCTGCTACCGCGAGATGGGTATGCTGCTCATGTTCGTCGCCGTGGCGATGGCCATCTTCGCCGCCCTTGCGCAGCTGCTCGAGGCCGGCCTCGACGTGGACGGCCACACGTCGGACTTCGCCAGCATCCCCGCCTCGTGCTGGTGGGTCATCATCTCCATGACCACCGTGGGCTACGGGGACATGTTCCCCATGACGGTGCCGGGCCGCGTGCTGGGCGGCGCGTGCGTGGTGAGCGGCATCGTCCTGCTCGCGCTGCCCATCACCTTCATCTACCACAGCTTCGTGCAGTGCTACGGCGAGCTGCGCCTGCGCGCCACGCGCAGCGGACGCATCCCACCGAGTCCCCTCTTCATGGACACGGACGGCTAGAGGAGCGCGGGGGGGGGGGAGATGCTGACACTGACTCTTGAGTTCCATGCCTCGTCACAAACTCCCTCCCCACCCCACCCCGAACCTCCACCACCTCGTTCATCGTGAACTGCTCGCGGGAGACATTTGCGTGAGCAGTGGGGGTGGACTTGACCCGAACTCTGGCATGAGCCTCGTGCCCCCCAACCCACCCACACTTGCTAATGAACATCGATCGTCAGTGGTGAAGGTTATCTAGTTACACGGGTGGATATCGGCGTGGGGGGTGGGGAGGGAGTTGACGTTGGCACGTGGGCCCCTACGGAGACGCCCTTTGGGATCTCTCGCAGAGGGAGGGCGTCGCTCCGTGCGGGAGAACGGCCCGCGGAACGAGACCCGCAGAACTGCTCGCGAGGTCGCTTAAAGTGACCTCTCATCCGCACGAGCGCTGCCCCCCCCCCCCCCCCCGGCACCATTCAGAGGTGTGTCCTCGGGGTGGCTGGAGATGCCCTCGAGTTGAGGTCAAAGAGCTCCACGCAGACGACCACGGCTCTTGTGATGTCACCGCCACCGCCACGCTGCGCCATCGCTTCCTTCCTTCGGCCAGGTCCCCTGGAAGCCGTTGTGCAGTCGACACCCTGGCCTTCTCGTGCTGCGCCCTGAGCTTCACCCCCCGCTCAATACGTAGCACTGAAGATGGTGGTCGTAGTTGTGGAGGAGGTGGTAGTGGTCGTAGTTGTGGAGGAAGAGGTGGTGGTGGTTGTAGTTGTGGAGGAGGTGGTGGTGGTTGTGGAGGAGGTGGTGGTGGTGGAGGGGGAAGAGGTGGTGGTTGTGGAGAAGGAGGTGGTTGTGGAGGTGGTGGTGGTGATAGTGGAGGAGGAGGAGGAGGAAGAGGTGGTGGTTGTGGAGGTGGTTGTGGAGAAGGAGGTGGTGGTGGTGGTGGAGGAGGAGGACGAGGTGGTGGTGGTGGTTGTGGAGAAGGAGGTGGTTGTGGAGGTGGTGGTGGTGGTTGTGGTGGTGGTGGTGGTAGTGGAGAAGGAGGTGGTGGAGGTAGTGGTGGTAGTGGTGGTAGTGGAGAAGGAGGTGGTGGAGGTTGTGGTGATGGTGGTGGTTATGGAGGTGGTGGTGGTTGTGGTGGAGGTAGTGGTGGTAGTGGTGGTAGTGGAGAAGGAGGTGGTGGAGGTTGTGGTGATGGTGGTGGTTATGGAGGTGGTGGTGGTTGTGGAGGTGGTGGTGGTAGTGGTGGTTGTGTAGAAGGTGGTGGTGGTGGTTGTGGTGGTTGTGTAGGAGGTGGTGGTTGTAGTGATTTCGAGATTTTGCACAGCGCGCGCGAGGCGCCACCCAGAGAGCACAATGCGTGTGAGGGTCGTGACGTGTATCAGGGTCGCGACTCGATTTTTTGTAAGTAACGTATCGATTTTTGTCCTCACTTTGTGGTGAATGTACCGACCTCTCGTGGCTGGAGGTCAAGTGAATCCATTACACGCAACATATTAATCTACAATAATCAATATCCACACGCGCACCGTTCGATGTATCACGAGCATTGTCTATTTATCAATGAGTCGCTCCGCCGTTCCACCACGCGTGTATCGGTACTGCATGGGTATACTGTACATCGCAATACTCTATACTGTATAATCAACTTGACATTAATGTGCGGCCTTTTATCGATCCACTGCTGGATGAAGCCCCCCCCCCCCCACACACATCGTGTAACATCACCACGCCCCGTGGGTGTTGTGAGTTCGGGCACACGGAATTAGCCACTGCCGAGAATTGAACTCAGGGTCTCGCACTTTTTTAGTTCAATGTGCAAACCCGCTGCACCACCGCTCCACCATTTAATCAACTTGCATCGTTCCAACATTTTTTGTTTCCTCCCCACCCCCTCCCCCCCCCCCCCCCCGTTGTTTTATTTCATTGCGTTTACGTGAAATCACCCGGGCACGCGTCCGATCTCGCAAGAAGCTGAGCAGAGCTTTGGCAGAAAATATTGCTCACATGAGCGACCATCATGCGCAACGGGTTGCTTTGGGCTGCTGGTGACAAGTTGTAGACGTGTGTGTGTGTGCAATTTGTAGACGTGTGTGTGTGTGTGCGTGTGTGTGCGTGTGTGCGTGCGTGTGTGTGTGCGTGTGTGTGTGCGTGCGTGTGTGTGTGCGTGTGTGTGCGTGCGTGTGCGTGTGTGCGTGTGTGTGTGCGTGTGTGTGTGCGCGTGCGTGTGTGCGTGTGTGTGTGCGTGCGTGTGCGTGTGTTTGCGTGTGTGTGCGTGCGTGTGTGTGTGTGCGCGTGTGTGCGTGTGTGTGTGCGTGTGTGTGCGCGTGTGCGTGTGTGTACAATTGTTCTCGCTTTTCAACATTCTGATTTGCGAGAAGAAGAAAAAACGACGATTTAATTGGCATGTTTGCCCAAGAGACAACTTGATTTGATTGACTTTCTCGGCTGCCGGAGGGTATACAGCAGCTAAAAAATGGGAATGCCTCTGCGATCGAACCCAAAATAAACTAATTACGAATGATAACATTCGTCGTGAGAGCCTACGTAGTATTAAAAACAAATTGCATCGTTATTATTCTTCCCATTCTGTCGGGAAGCACTCATCCAGCAGTGGATTAGCAACATCAGGGCACGATGCGTACACGAGGTGCCATGCGCGTGGTCAAGCGACTCGTAACCAAAGTTCTCAAGTCGAGTCCAACAGGAGGAGAGCGTAGCCAATAGATCGATCAATCACCACCACCACCACCATCATCATCAGGGCTTAATTTCAGCCTGAGCTGTCCGGGGCTGAGTTCCAGAAAATATGACCATTCCCCCCACCCCACCTCCGCCCCCTTCTCGGGATAAATTAAGCCCTGATCCTAGATTTGAAGCTTTCGTGACTGCAAGGATTCATATTCTTAGGTTTTTTCGGTAAAGTCACCGTCACAGCACGATTGCTGTAGCAATCGTGCTGTGACGGTTCCACCTGAAGACGGAAGCTTGTGTTGCCTTCGAAACGTCGTGATTTCTATTTTACTTTCATTAATTTTAATTTTTACCTACGTGACTTTACCGAAAAAACCTAAGAATATAAGCCCTGATCATCATCGTCACACGTGGAGATTTGCAGCAACCGCCATGCGCCACGTCGCTGGTGCCAGGCGAGGTTCACTTTGACGGTTATCACGTGAAGTGTTGAGGGCCTCGCTGGCAGGAGGTCACGGGACGGACCCAGTTGGCACGCGTGTGACTTCCCGGCTCCACGCACTTTGATGTCGGCAAGCTACGAATCAAATCGAGCTTCAAATCAAGATTGAAGCTACGGATCGTCCGTTCGATTTTATTTTCCACGATTCGGGGGGGGGGGGGGGGGGGGCTGGCGAATCTTTTCTAGAATTGATCCTATGGGGGTTTTTTTAATCCTTTATATTAAGTTCGCTTGCTTAGGACCGTGCAAATCTTTCGGTCGTTTTTTAACCCACTTCCCGTGATCCAATCGAGCTGACATTTTGCACACAGACTCGTTGTGCGTGACAATGCATTTTCCTGAAAAAAAATTTCCACAATTTTACACTGTTTAGGGACATTTTTTTAAATATTTAATTACCAATTGTTTAATGCTGCCAGACAATCATCTGACCCATAGGTGGCAGCCATCTCAAGCCAGAGGACGAGAGGACTCGTGCCGCCACGCATATAAAGGATTTATAGTGAAAAACTTTGTTTTTACGGGTTATACTTGTTTAGTTTTTCTTGTTGCCAACGTGCTGAGCGTAGCTTCCGTTCGTGGCTACCGAGCTTACCACTCGTGACGACAAACGCGAATTCCAAGATCAGCGCTTCTTACGCGCGCGATAAGAGCCCCGGGACCGTGAGCACAATCGTCCAGGGCCATTTGCCTGGCCTCATTATACTCGGCCTGTAGCAGCGCTAAGTGAAGGTTATCTTGTTTCTAGCAGATGAAGACTCAAGAGACCGCGATCAGTTACGGTTTTGGATGAGCAACCTAGGATAATAAAAAAAAAACCAGTGTCAATAGCATTGGCCTAAACATTATACATTTATATGAAGGTCATGGGCGACGTTTCGGGCAACGAACCTTCTTCATGCGCCACGTGTTACGAATAAGATTAAGACGTCCTGCACCAGGCCAAAGCGAATCTCTGCTCAAAGGCGAGTGGGACGCCACGAATCTCCGCCTACGCCTCTGCTCACACCACGAGTGAACATCCACAGTCACATGGCAGGGGCCCAGTCCGTCCGTAATCCGGCTCGCCCATTCGTGGAAACGTCTCGCGTCGCCGCCTCTCAGCCGGCGACGATCAATGGGCGAGCAATCCGCGCGGCGTGATCCCCAGTGGCCCCCAGACTCTCAGCCACCTCACGGGACCCCCGCTTCTGCGATTACGCGAAGCAATCCCCCCCCACCACCACCCCCTCGCCTCCACCTCCCCCCCTCTTCTCTCTTCCCCCGCTTGGTTCCTCCTAATTGCTTTTCATTCCTCGTCATTCTTCCTCATCCCTCGTGCTCCCCCCACCCCTCCCCTCCCCTCCCTCTTAATCTTTCTCCTCTTCCCTCCCCCTCTTCTTTTCCCCATCACTCATCATGCCCCTCCCCCAATGCTCATCTCTCCCAGTTGTCTCTCATGCCTGCGTATCCATCCCCCTCCCTCCCCGTCCCTCCTTTCTCATCCCACCTCGCCATCCCTCCCTGAGCCCTCTCAAACCCAGCTTGTTTCTACATCTTTCCGCACCCCCCCCCCCCCTCTCCATCCCTCCCCACCCCTCCTCACCCCTCCCCATCCCTCTCCCTCCTCATCCCTCTCCCATCCTCACCCCTCATCATCCCTCTCCATCCCCCTCCTCACCCCTCCCTATCACTCACCTTTCGTCCCCCATCCCCCTCCTGACTCAGCCAAGTTGTCCCTGACCCCGCCCGGCCCAAACACCCGACACCGCTCTCGGCTACCCTCCCCACTCTCTCTCTCTCTCGCTCTCTCCCCGGATGCAATTAAAGTCTCCGACGACATCACCACCGCCCTCGCGTCTCTGCGAGCAGGAGGAGGAGGATGATGGTGGTGACGGTGATGATGATGGTGGTGATGATGGTGATGGTGGTGATGATGGTGATGGTGATGCTGGTGATGATGGTGATGATGGTGATGATGGTGGTGATGGTCATGGTGGTGATGGTGGTGATGATGATGATGGTGATGATGATGGTGGTGATGATGGTGGTGATGGCGATGATGGTGATGGCGGTGGTGATGATGATGGTGATGAGGGTGGTGATGGTGATGATGGTGGTGATGCTGGTAATGATGGTGATGATGATGTTGGTGATGATGGTGATGGTGGTGATGATGGTGATGATGGTAATGAGGGTGATGATGGTGATGAGGGTGATGATGGTGGTGGTGATGGTGATGATGGTGATGGTGATGAGGGTGGTGATGGTGATGAGTGGACACGCGATACCCGGGATACATGAAGAAGCTGCCGCGGAGAAATCTGAGAGGGAATGGCGCGTGGTCTCCCTCGTGCGCCGAGCGAGAGCCACTTCAATTGTGGCCGCGTCTCACGGGGACTTGCGCAAAAGCGTCGTCGTCATCCTCATCATCATCATCGTCATCATCGTCGTCGTCATCGTCATCGTCGTCATCGCCATCATCGTCGTCATCGCCATCATCGTCGTCATCGCCATCATCGTCGTCATCATCGTCATCATTCTCATCGTCGTCATCGTCATCGTCGTCATCGCC